CTCTCTCTCTCTCTCTCTCTCTCTCTCTCTCTCTCTCTCTCTCTCTCTCTCTCTCTCTCTCTCTCTCTCTCGCTTGCTCGCTCGCTCGCTCGCTCTCTCTATCCTGCACCGACTGTGGCCTTCGATTTTGCATCTCCTGGTTTGAAACGTCTAAAAAAAGAACCTTTCGTTCCACCGTTTGGTCATTGCCCCGCATCCTCCCTTCCATGTCGAAATGTCGCCAAACTGTCCCTCGTTGTTTAGGGTGCGGCGCACAGACTGTCGGTGCGCCTGTCCCCGTCTCCGGCTGCTGTACTCTTAGGGAGAATGAACTCGATGTCATAATCGTCATCCGTTATTGTGGTGCTTGGAGGCCCAGGCCTGTGGACAGACGGCGTGCGAGAGCGAAAGAACGATGTTGCCTTCTCAGCCACGGATACGGAACGGTCCAGTTTGAAGACGGAAAAACTCATTTCTGTGTCTCGGCTACGGAGAGATGAGACAATTGCCTACTTTACAGATACCAATTTTTCTATCTGCTCCGCAGCTCGTGTCGTCTTCGTTGTCTGTTCTATCTCATATTGAATTACCATCTCCGCAAAAGTCAGTTGCTGCAGGGTGATGCCCAGGTTCCGGCCTTCCTTCCTCATCTGAAAAAATTTTAAGAGTGTCGTCTTGAAGGCGGGGGTGCCCCACTGATCGTCGCCGCTCCGTCTTCACGTTTTTTTCTCCTTCATCTCGGTGCGCATCTTGTTGCGAGCGGGGAGGTGGTGGTCCGCTTGCTGCGATCCGACGAGCGGAATCCCTTTTTCAGCCCAAAACCAATGTTTCAGCTGCCATGTAATCTCTCCGCGGATCGTCGTCATCATTCTGTTGCATTCCCCTATGACAGCTCGAATCCCGCACTCTGCTATGTGAGACCGCAACCCTTCCTCTACTGTCTCCCCTGCCAGTTTCGCCGTTGCTTGCACCGCCACGAAAAACGCGTCCTCTGTCGGGTACAGAGTTGCGTCGTTTGCCGCAGAGAACACAAAAGCTTTGGCGACGGAACGCAACAGCTTGCCCTTCATTTTCTTCGTGAATGCGGCGCCCTCGTCCTTCGGTCCTTGCACGGCTCCGCCGCTTGCGCGCACTTTCGTTCGTGACGTTGCGATCGGTGGGAAACAGAAGACACAACGCACAGAAGAGTGTTAACAACTCAGCGCCTTGTTTTGAATACAACACTTGCAAAATTGAAGATTCGGTTATTAGTTGTGCGTTTACAAAGACACTTCTCCGTGCGTAAAGGTGTGCACCGCGTGGGGGCACGGGATTATGTGATCGGAGTGGGAGGGGAGTCAGTGCGACGCGGGGTTTTTTACCTTTTCCGGCGGCGCTGACGTGCTGTACGATTTGTCTGTCACCGACACGCTCCTCGGTGTCGCTGCCATTGCGTGCCTGCCGTTCTCATTCTCTGCGCAGCGTCCTCAAAGGAAATGGCGAACCACCTATTTCCGAAGCGGCGCTCTGGTCTTCGCCGGTTCTCTCGCTGGCCGACTTGCCGTCGCTGTCGTCGTCCTCATCGGTGTCATGCGATTGTCTGTCGAAAGAATCGCTGTCGTCTGCCTCGTTCCCTGGCTCCTCGTCCTCCGCACCATCTGACTTCTCTGGCGCGGAACGGTCGTGTTCCTCCTCTTCTTCCACTTGGGGTCCGCTGCGCCTGTCGTCAGACCCTCTAATATCGATTGTCTCCACTGTTCTGTCGTCTTTGTAGGATATTCTCTTCTTTGTTCTGCGGTGCCTAGTCGCGCTTCTATCATCCCGCGATCTTGTTTTCCGGGGCCCTTGGCGGACGGTTTTCGGCGCCGCTTCCGCGCTTTCCCCGGACGGGGGTCGAGGGGGGCGACTCATTACGTTCTTTCAGCGTTGAAATCTCCCGTGCACTCGAAGGGACTGTAGCTTTCGATCCGGATTTGCGGTTGCGCTTGTGCTCCGTTTTCGCAGAGGGGCCGGCGCCGCTTCTGCGATGCTCTTTCGACTGCTTCTTTTCGACCCTCGATTTCTTCTGGCACTTGTCCTTCTTTCCCGCGACTTTCAAAGACCTGCACAGATCCTCGTATTTTGGCCTTGGAGCCATTACCCCTTTTTTTCCACATGCATCAAAGTGGAATAAAAACCACAAGTGCGTCAGTGATGTTGTTTGTCACGCAGAGAGAGAGAGAGAGAGAGAGAGAGAGAGAGAGAGAGAGAGAGAGAGAGAGAGA